TGAATCTTTGTATCAGCAAGTGGTGTTGGGAAAGCAAACAAGTTAAGTTTTATGCTACCCACCATCTACACCTGACTTCTAAATCACGATTCATCCCATGGACTTCTGTGGTTAAAATCCTGCAGGATTTGCCCTGAATGTCAAGTGTAAGTATAATCTCAGTTTGTAGTTAAATCAGTGTTACCATCTTATGATTGTAGAGCATGAAACCATATAACTGCAATTTGTATTTTTTTAATTAGAAAGTAACTTATTGGTTTTACAACAGTGAAGCTATATAGATAAAGAAAAAACACTTTTTGTGTCCCTTGCTTCCCTATCTAACAACATAAAAGTAATTAACAATTTATGTTTTAAGATCTATGTGATAATATACACACCAGTTTATCAAATAGATATTTCCAAGTGGGTTCATGTAAATCTTTTATTGGCCTATCACATCTTATAATTTGGATACATCAAAAGAGTTAGTCATTTCCCTTATGGATGGAAGCTTAAATTATTTCCAACTTTTATAATTTACAATGTTAAATGAACATCTTGTAAAATTACTGATGCAAAATCATTATACATTTTATATAAATTTTCAAGTGATAGCATGAAGCTCTTCACCCAAAAGCTAAATACAAATGCAAGACCCTAGAAATTCAAGATAAATAATAACCTGGCCTTGTTCCATACATCCTAATAATTAGGACATTCTTAGTGACAACCAAAAGGATGGGTTGGTCTCTGGTATTTCAAACATGGCTCATGGTAATGAGATGAACATCAATACCCTAGGAACATGTATGACTGCACATATGTTACAATGCTACTTCATGTACAACCATAGAAATGTAAAGTTGTGCTGCAATTGTGTGCAATAAATCAAAATGCATTCTGCTGCCATTTTTTAGGGTCTTATCATTTTTAAACCTAGAGATAAATTTAAAATAACTAAAATAAGTTTAAAAAATAAAAAAGAGCATGGCCCAGGCATTCAGGGCAATTTATTAGGGTTTCTTTATTGCAGAGATCTTAGAAGATAAGAACAAATGAAAAAGCCCAAAGAATTGTTGATATTTGAGGCTTTGAGAGAAACACCTACCTTTCTGGAAAAAGATACTAACAATTCTATGAACAACAACCTGTCTGCTCCTTCTTTATTCTGTGTGTTGGGATTATACCCATACGCCAAGGAAAGTGATGCAGCCCATTCAGGAAGCTTAATGAATGTAGGATATGAAGCCTGAAGTACAGATGAACATTCCTCCCTCAGTGTCAGTGAGAAGAATTTAAAGTGGTTTCTATGAGCCTCTCCTGAAATCACTTGATACCTGAGGTTTCTCTTTCCATTAGTAATAGATAGCTCAGTATCATGAAAACTAAGCTCAAGGGTCAGCTCTGAATGAAATATACTTTATAGACACTGTCATTATTTTTTAGTCAGTCTATAACGTATGTATACTCTTAACCATAATGTGCACAAAACATACCTACAATTTTATCTGTAGGTTTAAAAATAATCAGACTCTAAAAAAATAAAATTATTATACTTCCCTTACCCTCATTAACAAATAGAACAAATACAGATTTTCGTTACTTAGTGATAGAGAATTTACCAACTATTATCAAGAAAAATATCAGAATACAAGTTTGCCAACATAGACCTGACTCCCAGCTCTTGAACTTCTGGCATAGACAAGGTAACATATATGACTCACTGATCATTCTTCAGTAAAAGATGACAAAGACAAAATCAGTGTGCAGATTCAAGTGACTTTACCCTTTACCCTCAGCTGACTCTGGAAAGTTCCTATGAATTACTAGACAAAAAAAGAGAGAAATATATATATAATTTTTATGGCAATATATCAATAATTCAGAACTAACCATGTGCCAAACCTTGTCATTATATCACTGTATTCCAATAGTAACCCTTTGAGATATGTACTATTACTGTCCCCATTTTGCAGATGAAGAAACTGAAGTTTGGTACTGGTTTAGTAAGTAGCCAGGAAAGTACATGAAGATCCTGAAAAGAAACCATACAGAAAAATCTTTCTACATGAGAATTTAAGAAAACAGCTCTTCTGAAAAAGCAAGTCCCTATGTAAAATCTTGACTGACTCACACTGACAGAAAATTATAATAGACATTTAAATTAATTTAGCATGAAAATATAGCCTCTTCTCAATGTACCAGACAGACATCTTCTTCTGTCCCCATCACTGACTTAAGTCCTTTGTTCCTTCACAGGTAGCAAAAGTTAAAAATGAAAAATGAAACTTTTCTTACAGAATTCATTCTGCTGGGACTAACAGACATCCTAGAGTTTCAAGTTGTAATTTTTATAATTCTCCTCCTCACCTATGTATTCAGCATCAGTGGAAATTTAACAATCATCATCCTCACCCTGCTGGACTCCCACCTCCAGACTCCCATGTATTTCTTCCTCCGGAATTTCTTATTCCTGGAAATTTCCTTTACATCCACTTTCACTCCTAGGCTGCTGTTCAGCATCTCAACTGGGATCAAGACTATCAGCTTTGCTGGCTGTTTCACTCAGTTCTTCTTTGCTTTTTTCTTTGGGGCCACTGAGTTTTGTCTTCTGACTGCCATGTCCTATGACCGCTATGTGGCCATCTGCAAACCTCTGCATTATACCACCATCATGAACAGCAAGGTCTGCATCCAACTAGTACTCTGCTCTTGGCTATGGGGCTTCCTGATCATCTTGTTCCCAATCATCCCAACTAGTCAGTTAGATTTCTGTGGGTCTAATGTGCTGAATCA